TCAAAACTTGTGGTAGCAGCACTTCAGACCACAAGAAATCGACGAACTTTTGACAGAATTTTCCCTCTACAAAGGAAATGTATGAAATGCTATGGAATTAGAAAGGAGAAAATTGCAATAGGAGAATAAATGCCCAGTGCAATTGGTGTACCCAAAATCATGTCCATAAGGTTCTATTTATAGATGTAAAAAGGGTGCAAATGAAATAGTGTGGGCCAAAACATGCATCCTTTAAAAAAGTTGCAACACTTGGCCAAAACCTGCATTCTTTCGAAAAGTTGCAATACTTCATTTTTTCCAACTTTGGTTCACAATTTCTCATTCATCCAGAACTGGTTTCGAGATTTCAAATATACCACGACGATCTATTCGACGAGTAGAATAAGTTGGTCTATTTACTTTTGTAATTTGACCATCGGATCAAGTCTGAATATTTGGTCGAAGTTGACACGTAGTCACACCTTTTCATTTTCCATTTTTTTACATACCTTTTCATTTTCCAATTTTTGGTTAATAATTTGAACCAATTCCTACATTTATTATATATAAATAAATAAAATACAAGTAAGTCATATTTTTGGATATTTAGCTCGATCCAACTTATAAATGGAATATCAGTCAAATCAAAATTGTATTTGAATAATATGTTGGGAAAGATGCCCAATATATTCGAGAATTTTGAACAAGATTTGACGGTTGGAAGCTTGAAAATCGAATATATTCAAGAAGAGATTAAGAGGATGTTTGAGCTACATTATTTTGGTAATAATGCATTCTTGAATAGTGTATTGATGGGAAATGTGTGGTTAAAAAATAAAGAAAAGTTTTGATCTGCGTGTAATATTATTTTATTGAAAAATATGTGGTTGAAATGATGTCAAATCACTGTTTAAGAATGTATTTTTTTGAATAATGTGGCTCAAACAGGCCCTAAAGCAATTGCTCTTCAGACAAGAATTTCACAATGATAATTCTACAATCATTTATGTAATCAATCATGCTTAGTGTACACCAAGTTTTACACTCCATCACGTGGCAACACATCATTTGACGGTTCAAAAAATAATAATTTTTCACCAATCAAATCTTCCCAACACAGATGATGTTAAACCCTTGTTTGATCCCCATTCTTTGAGAAAAATGCATTTTTTACAGTGCTTTGATATCATTTCAACCACACATTCTTCAATAAAATAATATTACACGTAAATCTAAAACTTTTCTTTATTTTTTAACCACACATTTCCCTTCAATACACTATTCAAAAATTCATTTTTTCCCCAAAAATGGGGCTCAAACAAGGGCTAAGTATGACGTAGAAATGTGATGTACAAGTGACTTTATGTTTGTGTGATTGATAATTATTATAAAGAGAAGTTTAATAAAGTTCTTGAGTCAAGTATTATTAAAAAGTAAATTTTTATTATCTAGTTTTACTTTATTTTTCAACATAATTAATGTGTGGATTTGAGTTGTTTAATTGGGTCGTTTTCTGTATTAATCAATTAAAACATATCCGAATAAGTCCTTACCGTCCAACTTGAGCAAGTTTATAGCAGATCAAATGTCATATAATTTATGAACCATAGTAAAAAAAGGTTAACATGATTCAAATAGTATCTTTTGAAATTTTTATTGACGTGTCTAGATTGTATAATCAAGTTAGTTTCAATAAACAATATTAATGTATAATTGGAAACAAGATTCGTGGTGACATTTACAAATTTATCTTGATAAATAATATATATTTAGGGATTTTTTTATTTTTATTTTTTCATTTTGTAGGCAATAATTATTCAAGGTTATGAAGTATTTTCATATCCTAAAGGAAGGTAAGCAGTTGGGACTAGGAAGGACCTAAACTAAGCAGTGGAAATTCTAAAGGTTTACAGGGAGGAAAATAGAGATATTTCCAGCATTAAAAAGAAAGTCTAGATTTTTCACAGAAGCCAGCTCGAAATATAATGCTTTGAAATAAGCATGAGTAATCAAATGAAATAAAACACTTTAATAAGACCCCGTTCCTCCCAAACTCTCACGAGAGGCAGTAGTCGGGAATTTTTCGCAGTGGGAATCAAATAAAAAAGGACTAGGGTTGCTTTCTCTGGTGGTACCTTGAATAATCTCTTTGTTAATAGGTTATTCCATCATAGTACCATCTTTCACTAAGAAAATTCAAAATATGCTTGGGTAATTAAAAACCCTTCTAAAGTAATAATTCTTCTCGATCTCAACATTATTATTTTAGGTTTTACTATATGGTGGAGAATGTTACAAAAATATTTCAAGTCCGATTATGATTCATTGAAAAGTTCTTTTCAAAGAATTAATCTATCTGAATGATGAATCATAATAAGATAATTCATGGTTCATATTCTTAGGGCATGTTTGAGACCCATGAATCTGAATTAAAATACATAGTCAATTGCACAAAATCAATTAAGTATTGCTGCTAATTAAAAATTTTATATGCTGTTCAACACAGCAGAAAAATATAATTAACTCCACTACTGCATAAACTTATATATTCTAGTGATTCATAGATCTAATTGGGTGTAATAAATGATTTCATCATCAGTGAATTTACACATTTGTACCTTGAGTTTTTTATTACGACGTATATCTTGCTTGTGAAACCCAACTAATAAAAAGAAGGATACATAGCAAAAGAGTGCTGCAACTGCATAAAATTAGCAGAAAGTGGCAAAAGGACGTGAGAATATAAGCAGTTGCTTCGTCCCCCCGATTATTACCATCTGCATACCACATACTAGTTTCAATTAATTTATAGATAATATGTTAACTATATGATGTTAAGTCTTAATTTGTCATATGTGCCTACATACTTAATTAATTTGGGGATAATTAGGCCAAGACGGCCCATTACTTAGAAATTTGATTAACACTCTTTCACCTTTTTAATTATCAACAATATAATTTACAGAGAAAAATAAATGCAATTCAATCCCAACCGTATAGAAGGGCAAAAGGAGCTGAATTTTCGAGTAAATAAGCTAGGACAAATCACTGGGGAAGTTTTGTGCTTAGGCTTGGGTTTGCTAGTAGTAGTGGTGGCAATGGAGAAAGAGGACGGTGGTTGTGTCAGCGGCACGAAAAAGCGATAACGACGATATTTGGGGGAGGGGATAATGGTAGAGGAGGTGAGGATTGTTGTGATATGAATTTCTTCTATTCCTTTTTTCTCTGTTTTTGACATTAATTTGATGTATTATGAAAACCATGATTTTATTCACCTGTAAAAGTCAAATCTTGCTTCTATCTTTTTGATTTTGTAACTAGAATGTACTCTTGTGATTTAGCTGCTTGCTAGAGGAAAGACACAAGATTTTACAAGCATTACGACAAAAGGTAATATATGCCTGAAACCCTAGAACTACGTATGTCTACTCTCTGCTAAGCCTCTTCTATCCCCCTACATTTAATGTCTTCGAATTCTAATCACTTCTAGAGTAACATCTTAGATTGGAAACGCGATCCAACAATGTATTTCATTGGGCAACTTCACAACTTACACAATCTAGATTACTGATCCAGTTTATGTTTTATCTATAATTTTCATTTGAAAATAATCTATTGTAGGTCAATTTTGCTTTTTCTATACCTTCCACCTCATATATCTCAGATATGATGGAGCAAACAATGTTTTCCCCTTTTATTCTACAAACCGATATATATGCCTGATGGCGGTGGAGGTGGAAGAGTGGTTGAATTTGCATAAAATGATATATTTTAAAGTTTTGATTGATATTTTGTCACTTTTTTAAGGTTTTATCACCTTTTGAATTTACATCGCTTTTTCTTTTTTTTTTTATATCCTTTTTTTAATATTGTTTGCCACTTTTTCTATGACTTTTTTGAGTGACAAAATGCACTTTTATCAAAAAGTATCGTTATAAATACTTAATTTTATTCAATATATTTTACTTCAAAAAAACTTTTATATGATTAATGGACTGGTTAAGTTGGTAAATGACGGTGGCAATGAATTGATTTAAAGATACTTGACATTTTGATTTGTGTTTTGTTGAAAAACTAATTTAAAGATGCTTGACGGTGAATGGAGGAAGATGAGAGACGATGGTTATCACTTTTTAAAAAAAAATTGTCACTTTATTGAATTGATTCTAATGTTTTAATTGGTGTTTTATCAGCTTTTTTAGTATTTTTCACTTTTTTCTCACTTTTAGTGGTTGTCTCTTTTTAAAAATTTTTATCACTTTTTGAGTGACAAACTTCATTTTTTAATAAAAGTGACATTGTATGTCATTTTTTAATAATAAAAAGTGACACTTAACTTTAAAAAGTGACACTGTGCCACTTTAAAAAGTTTACATAGTATTTTTTCTTTTCAAAATATTTTTATATGATTTTTTAAAAAATCATTAATTTTAAGGGGATTTTTGTATGTTTTTCATTAATTTATTTATAAAGGCTATCTTAAAGTTAAGTCAATTTAAAAGTGATCTAATAAGGAATTAAAATTATTGGGTTTTAGGCATTTAAATAAAGTATGAGCCTAAATATGTGTAAAGATCAAATTTGTTTAGAATTTTGTTTCATGATGGACGAAATATTTACGGATATATATATATTCTTTGTACCTCCCATCAACACAAGAAGAGAAAGTATATTGAAGAGGAAGATTCAATATCCACAATCAATAATTAAGAAGAGAGAATTCGAGAATCAAGACTATGGATCAAGAAACAAAATCAAGAACAAGAATTAAAAAGTCAAAAGAGGCAAAATTCAACATTAAAAGTGAAGAAGTCAAATATGAAAAGATTGCAGTTCAAACTTCAAGATTTAAGATCCGGAATTAAGATCTAGTAATTAGGAATTATTTCCAATGAATTAAAGCATGTTCCATATTAATTAATTTTCTTTTGGTGATTTGACATGCGTGGCAATTCATAAAATTTTATAAAGTTTAAATTTCATAAAAGTTTCAACATATAACAGATTAATTTACATTACATTCACGCAAATTCTCCAAGCAATAGCTTGATTGTCTTCGATGAGCAACCTCGTGACCTAGCATTGGATCTACGGCCAGCACTGAAGCACAAAGTACCAGTAGGCGATCCATAATCATCTTCATCCATCTTGGAATGCAAAGACATCCTTGGACTTGAAATTCTGCACTGCTGTTCGCGTGAGCTTGAAGTACTAAATGGAGACGAAGGCACAGAATGTGGTGACCATGATGATGAAGATGACGATGAGGAAGGTGACTGTTGTTCCCGGCTTTTCTTAACACTTATCTTAGGCAGAAAAGAATGTATCAGATTGGATTTCAAATGAGTTTTCGAGGGATTTCTCCTAGGAGTAGAATGGAATGAAGGAGGGGGTGTTAAAGGAGGAAGAGGGCTTTCCCTGAACTTGACTTTAGGCGTACCGGGCTGTGATTCCCACAGGAATGGAACTCCAACAGAAGAATCCCTATAGTACACTTCAAAAGACTCATCAACACAAATTGATAGCTCAGTGGATAGACGTCTAGATAGCTCAGTGGATAGACGTCTAGAAGAGAATATCTCTTCTAGCTTAATTCTGATGAACTTCATTGGATGATCTTCTGAGATGCTGCCAAGCATTTTGCTTAGTTTCTAGGGTCCTTAATTAGGGTTTGTACTTTCTTGAAAGAATTTGAAGAAGAAGGTAGAGAAGTATGAGAAGAAACTCAAGAGTTAAGTAAGATGGAGTAGAAAAGTCTTTGACAAAGTAAGCCTAACCTCCAAAACATGACTCCCCAACTTCCAACGCTAGGCATGAGTTTGGCATGTATATATTACGGAAGCATTCCTCCTACACATGAATTTGACAAGTATTTTTGACAAATAATCGTGACCTTTAATTTAAACAAATCTAATGGTCAGTATGTATTTCACTAGGATCATAGGAGAGTTAGTTATAACCACTTCTCAAATAATCATGATATTTAATTTAAACAAATCCAACGGTCAGTCTCTCATAGAATCCAAGTGGTTATAACTAACTCTCCCTTGATCCTAGTGAAATACATACTGACCATTAGATTTGTTTAAATTAAAGGTCACGATTATTTGTCAAAAATACTTGTCAAATCCATGTGTAGGAGGAACGCTCCCCTATGTATAAGTTAGGTCTCCAATGAAATAATTTTTATTTATTTATTTATTTCTTGAGTGCGAAGATAATAAATTTAAATTAATCAAACTAAAGTGAAAACTTAAATTTTTATATTAGATAATTTAATTCAACTAGAGATCCTATCAAAACAGGAAAACAAAATGTATAGTTCTAATTTCTTTGTCGGTCATTTATAAAATCTTATGCATATCAAATAATATTTTAAGGTTTTGGTAGCTAAATTTAAATAAATAAAAGTGTTCTATCTCTGAAAGTTAAATTCTTTTTAATAAATACTTTAAAAAAGAAGTATGTTTAAACATCCCTATTATTCGATATTTGAAACTTTTGTTTTAGCTGCAATCACGTTCACATATAAGGAAAAACAATTGTAAAAGCATCATATGTTAAATTAAATAAATTATTGAGTCAACTAAACATAAGCAATGATCAATTAAAGATTAACAAATTAATAAAATGATGCATTGGGAGTATGCTAATTAATATAATGTTTAACATATATCTTACTCTCTACTCTCTAAATATACTATTTTTTATTTTATTTTCAACACCGTAGGTCATGCAAATTTTTCATAAATCGGGACATTAGCATTCAACCAATTAATCAAATAAATAAATAAAGCCATTGAAATGAAAAAGATCGAAAACCCCAAATTCCAAAAACAAAATAAATATAGTTGTTTAACACTATAAAATTAATCAAGTTTCAAATTAATCATCTCTCAGCCCCTCTTAATGAACTCAAATTAAACAGTTGACAAAAAGTTTACACGATACAAGGTGGCGTCCAAATCACACGCAATCTCTCGGGTCATGTGCCAATCTGAATATTGGTGACCTGAAAATTAAAAATAAACCTTCAATTTTGGATCTACAAAGTAAACTCGTGCAAGAAAGTTGACTTTTTAAAGAATATAACACAAGTTGATAGCGTATTTTTGTAATTATTTCATTCCTACTAATGAAGTACCCAATCAGACAAGAAAAAACCAAACTTGAGTCAGGTAAACCACGAATCTACTCTCATTGTTCGTCTACTAGCTCATTGGAATACATACACCTAAGTCCCTGACAGAGAGCGTAGATCGCTGTGTCTCAAAAATGAGTTTTGCTTAGGTTGAAGCAAATACGAGTATATATATATAGTTTCTTTTCTCATGCCCTTCCCAGCTTAAATAGAATATGGAGCTTCCTTACTTACCGACTTCCAGCCGTAAAAGAAAGACTTCATTTTTATAGTTCTTCTTGCTGGAATGGAGAGATGTACGGATTGAACTTAATTTGTTAAAGGGTTTGGATTTAAGACTTAAGAAGGGTCCATTACTGTGGGATAATGAAAATAAACGTTAGAAGGACACTGTGAGGGTGGGATTTTAGATGTTAGAGCATTTTCAATGTAATCGTAGATTGTTCCAAAAAAGAGGGTTTTACCACATAAGCAAAGAGAAAAATATTTAAAAGAAATTCATGTCCAATTCAAGCTCAGATGTGATTTTATTTTTATTTTAAGAAAATAAATGACACGGAGGAAAGCAAAAACATAGATGCACTCCTATGAATGTGAAAAATATATTGAATGGTTCAAATTGAATTGAAATTGTTATCGGGTTTATGGTATTCATTGGAGACCAAATTTGAACTTAAATGTCTATTCATTAGATATCAATGTCATGTAGATCGAAGATAAATAATCTAATGAGTACTAGTGTTTAGCTTATTTTAAACACCAGTGACATAACGCACTAATTAATTAGTGAATAAGTTAAGCACATGTGTTTAGGAAATCATTTCTGGTAGATCGAAAATCTTTTAACTTGCATTTCACATAAATATCAACTCATAGAATGTATTTGAGATGATCTTTAATCACTCCATTACCTCCCATCAATTACAATCTTATGCAAACATTAAGAAATTAATGGTAATATGATGTATCTTACATTTTAGCTAAATATGCCAACTACTAAAGTTGTGGCAACAAAAGTTGAAATTAATTTGTACTCTACTATATTATAGTTGAGTGACATATTTTCAAATTAGTTATGCATCACAAATTAATTAATTGGCATATTTACTTGAAAACATAAGATATATTCAATGACCGTCAAATTACAACATCCATGTAGAATTGAGACATTCATTTTTTTATTTTTTTTGGAAGTTAACTGAGCGACCAATTTTGGCCTTAGACATAAGTGAGGGCCCTGTAGATATTGAAACGACTAAATTGAAGTACATTAACATGATGTGACGAATTAAAGTTGAGTGGCCTAATTGAAATTTCATTGAAAGTCATGTGGCCAAACATGAAATAAACTGAAGGGCATGAACTTACAGACCTGGTAACCAGAGCCCAGCCTGTTAGTTTTTTTGGTTGGGCCTGTCGGTTTCCATTGAGCCAAGATTGGTGGATCATGACTAGCCCAAAAATATGGTGTGCTGTTCTGCAAACCTCTAGATGTTCATACCTTTAGGCCAGGAACCACGTTTTAGCACCACTAAGGACTTTATAGAGTTCTACACTTAAGTCTGAGTGTCGATGTATCCATTCAGGTATTTCATTACTCGAAATCATCTGTTACAGCTTGAGTATTTTATAAATGAAACCATTCCAGCCCACATAGACTGGAACCAAACTCAAACTCATAATATTTAAAAATAAAAAATAAAAATAAGCTGACACTAAATTATATTTCAAATATCTGACAAAAATAGAAGATATAAAATATAAAGCAAAATACATATTTCAAGACATTCATAATTCAATGCAAAAATGTCATCAAATGGTATACGATTTCGATTGTGACTATACTTGTGGCGCCTCAAAGAGCATTTATGGGGCGGACTTTACGTGACAACACGTAAAGTGTGGTTAGGAGTAGCTACGAATGATAGTGATATAATTTAATTTCAAAAGAATGAATATGATTGATCATTATACTTGTTGCGACTTACAAACTTGTTACTTGCAACTAGTTGGGCCAGATCATTGGTCATGATAAATCAATTATAAAAGGTTAAATTTTTTTTGACAAATTTGATTTCAAAATTTGGTATTCATGGTTTTTATTTATTTTTTTTTTTTTATCCCTCTAAAAACTGGACTGGAACCTCCAATTTAGGAGGTCGGATTCCGAATAAAATAGTCATCCCCTACAGATATGCACCGTTTGTTTAATGGATAAAGATATTTGTACTCACACATTTGTACAAAATGTTTTACTCATTCTCATATACACTTAGGCTCCACATAAAATAAAAAATGCTAACATGTGGCCCCCACCCTCCTATTGTAAGTGTAAGTAAACCATTTTGTACAAAAGTGCGTATACATCTAGCACTCTTCTTGTTCAATACTATATAATTCTTTGATTAAAGTGATTAAATATAACGTACATTAATTTACCTATCCTAATGGAGGAAATACACGAAAATGGCTCTTCCACTGTAGCAAAATTTGACATTGGCCTTTAACCCATTAAATGAATTAAAAAAAAACAAATTAAGTTAAAAAAAAACTTCACAGTAAAAGACGATTTTATCCTTCAAACTGTTTGAAAAATTCTGTCTAACCAACCGACGAACAGTTGCCAGAAATTTGACCGATCAACCACCGGCAACTACACCAACGTCGCAGTCAACAACCTGATCTACACCGGAAATAAAATAACCGGTTAGTTTTCATCACTTTTTGTTTCAGTAGAAAATTTATTGAATAAGTAAAATTAGCATTTTCCTTACATTATTCGGTTTAATTAGATCAATGGGCATGAGCAGTTAGATTGTGGGCATGCTAGGAGTGTGAAAAATGTGGATTTTTTGCAATTTTTGGAGCTCATAGCGCCGACAATGGCGATTTTCGGCAGCCAGTCGTTAAAAGTCGGTTTACCCGACTGTTAACCGTCTGGGCCGACCCAGACTGAATATTTAATTTTTATTTATTTTTTATAATTTTTATAATTAATTAAATTTTTTGTTTGATTAAATAGTAATTATGTTATTTATTTATTTAATTTTTATCATTGTCAATATAATATAATAATTGAAATATTGTAAAATTAACAGTGTTGATTCTTTTTTTTTTTTAATGAAATTATCTTTAATTTATTTTTTCAAATTTATTTAAATAATATGAATAGTCTTTACATTTTAAAAAAAGGTAAAGTAATTATTTATTTAATTTTTATCATTGTCAATATAATATAATAATTGAAATATTTTAAAATTAACAATTTTGTGTTGTTCCTTTATTTTATTTTATGAAATAATCTGTAATTTATTTTTTCAAATTTATTTAAATAATATAAATAGTCTTTACTTTTTTTGAAAATGTAAAGTAATTATTTATTTAATTTTTATATTTGTCTTTTATATAATTTAATAATTGAAATATTTTAAAATTAACAATTTTGTGTTGTTCCTTTTTCTTTTTATGAAATAATCTTTAATTTATTTTTTCAAATTT